TCTAGCTCTTCTTTTGGAAAGGTTAGCAACTGTGGTCTCAAGGGAATTTGGGTTCAACTGGCAGCTCAGCTATTCCCTAGTTCACCCTGAGTCTCTTAAATTTTATAGGCTTCAATTCTCTTATGTGTAAAATGAAGTAATACACAAATACTATTATAAGGACCACAGATATTATTTATGAAGCTTCACAATATACAGAAGCCCACTAGAATACAATGGTCACTCAAATGATTATCGCTTCTCAGCCTTTTGGCTAAGATCATGTGTGGTCACTCAAATGATAAAGATTGTTTCTATTTGTCAGCCTTTCTCTTTGTGTTGGGTGGCCACAGTATGTGTGTGGGAGACAGGAGTTCTGAATGTTGACCTGAGCTCATTTTGGAACAGAAGGAGTTTGGGAAAGAAAGAATTAGAGACTAGTCCATTTCAAATGGAACACTGTTTGGAAATCAGTTAAAAGTGCAAAAGACAGAGAAGTAAAATTTCTATTTCATAGCATATGTATGCTTTATATCTAACGTCCCCCCCAAAGCCTCATGTGCTCATAGGTGCTTTGCGGAGGTGATTGAATCCTGGCTGTCATTTGATACTTATCAATGCTTTAGTCCACTAGTGAGTTTAAAGGTAAATGCGATGCTGGGAGGTAAAACCTGATTGGAGGGGGTGGGTCACTGGGGGCGTGGCCTAAAAGGATCTATCTCCCTCCCTCCTCCTTTGATCCTTCTCCCTGCTTTTTGCTTTTCACTGCCATGTCATGAACTCTTTCTCATCTGTGATGTCCCTCTGCCATGACACCCTGCCTTGGAGCCAGCTGCCTGCGAACCAAAACCTCCACAAACTATCAGCTACAATAAATTTTCCTTCTTTAACTTTGGGTGTTGAGTATTTTGTCGCAGCAATGAGAAAAGTAACAAAGACAGCATAGTCTGAGGGGAAAAAGTTCTGGGAAAATTGTTGACAACTGAATGTGTTAGCCCACAGGTTGTGTTGTGCTTGAGGACTTGTGAAATTATAACAAAGCAACTGTTTTATATTCACTATCTACAGCAGTGGTGGTGAGCAGTTGTTTTTTCTAAACTAAAACCTCAGTATTCAGTTTTAATTGCAGTGTTGGCATTTTGTGATAAGTAAGTGGGTTTGGGGTTCAGTGGGGGCACTTGGTCTCTAAGAGGTTCGCCATCACTGATCTAGAGATATTTTTAAAATAACCATAATCAAAGAGGAAAAAGCAAAATGGAGAGGGAGCGAGAGAGAGAGAGAGAGAGTGGGATTTTCATTCTCTGGATGGAGAAACTGAGGACACAGCCATCTGCCTTTCTTGTCACTGCTTGTGAGCGGAGGCTGTTAGGCAGGTGGGGACATCGGGGATTTTTCTCTGAAGCCCGCCCCCCTTGAGGCTGAGCCACTTCTGAAGCTGTGCCTTGCTGGAAGGTCTCTGTGCACTGAGTGTGTTCACAGGGTGGGAATTTTGTCACCCTGTCCCCTTTGTAATATTAGTGTGATAAAAAAAATTCTGAGATCTGAAATAAACTGAATTTAATTACAAAGGTGAGGGGGCACGGGAAGTTAATCAGTTAACAGTGGTAGATGGGTGAAACTCCCAGTAAGACTTTTTCATATTTATAATATATATTGAAACCTTAAGTCTCATCACTGACCTGGGCCACCAAGCCCTGTTTTCTCATAAACTTCTGGAACTGTAAACCCCAACCAATCGAGAAGCAACAAGTACTCCTCCTTATGGGCCTCCCTCCTATTCCAAAGCTTTGTCCAGCTTCACATAACCCCACCCTTCTTAGCTACAGTCAGTGTAAGCTGGAAGTAAATGATGTATGCTTTCCTTCCCCAAATTTAAAAAATTACTCTTGGCTCTGGGTCCTGCAGACACAGCTCCAGCTGCTACCTGGCTTTGCTGCTGATGCTTGCAGGGCCTTGTCCATGGATCTGGACCTTTTTTTCTGTCGAGCAGCTATAACAGCTCAATAAACTCTTGGTTTCAGGAGGTTTGGTTTAACAAACTCCAAGGGTAATTTTTTAAATAGAAAATATCAGAGCTGTGACCTTTCCTCCCTGCACATCTTTATGCTATCCTTACATTCCAATGTCTTTTCCTATCTTCTGAGATACAAAATGTTTGCAAGAAATGGATTATTTTCCCCTTAAATTAATTAACAGTCTAGCCAGGTTTGAAAGTATTTACTGCTCTTAGAAACTATAGTGTCTTTTTCTTTTATATGTTAATAGAATACATGACACAGATTTATTTGTAATCCAGTAAAATACCCATCCTGCTTTGGGATATAATTGGCAATGAAAACACTTCTTGGGCACTAAAATTCTAGTTGGGAAAATATACTTGAAAGGTTAGCTAGCAATTCAAGGCCACATGCAATTAAATATTCTAGGAACTCAGAGACAGGGATTGCTGACATTTAATGTGGCCACAGAGGCTCCAGTGGAGAAGCTGAGGTTTGAGCAGAGCCTATAAGGATCAGTGGTTTTCTGCTGTGAACCCTGAAGGGCAGGCACCATAATGTATCATCTTCGTTAATTTCTAAAGAGACCATGTCTCTTTTGCTCAACCGTACCTGGCAATAAATATTTGTTGAATTAACTGATAGTTAGAGATAACAGCAGAAGGTTTTCTAGGCTGAAGTAACAATATAAACAGGTCCATAATGTACAGAGAGGCTTTCTGCACTAGGAAACTCCAACAGCAGTCTGGCTACAGGAAAGCTTCCTATTAGGGAGCAGTGAGAATAACAAAGACCTAGGTTGGGCAGGCCCACTGAGGCCAAGAAGAGTTAGGCCTTCTCCCAAGGCAATGAAGAGTCTCAGACTTTTTTCCGTTAAGGAGTAAGCAGTGTGAAAATTAACTGGCTGTAATGGACAAGGAGGAGAGGAGTGATATTGCATACCATGAAATGCATATATGGCCTTTGTCCCCACACATCTCCTAAAACCTTTATCATTTCCAATGTCAGTAGTGTCTTTTTTGTTTCTGTACACTAAAGAGATGACTAATGGCTGAGGACTCCTGGGTACCTTCAGGAAAGGAGCCATTATAAGGGAACAAGCCATGTGATTAGAAATTTGGAACTTTCAGCCTCACTCCCTTCATCCTTCAAGAAGGGTGGCGAGGAGTGCTGAAGGGTTACTCCCTAGGGGCCAATGCTTCAACTAGTCATCCCTACAGGACGGGGGTCCCAGAGCTTCCGGCTGCTGAAGATGTGCAGATACCTGGAGAGTGGCGTGGCGGGCTCAGAGGGGGATAGAAGGTCCATGCCCTTTCTCCCACGCCTTGTCCTACACACATTTTCATCTTATCCCTTGTAATATCCTCTGTAATGCATGAGTTACTGTAAGCAGAGCATTTCCCTAAGTTCTGTGAGCTGCTCTAGCAAATTAATTGAGCCCAAGGAGGGAGTCCTATTTACTGACCCTCAATCATAAATTCATTGTTGGTTGGTCAGAAATACAGGTAACAGTGTGGGATGTGACTGGCATCCAAAGGAAGAGGAGTCTTTGGGACTGAGCCTTCAGTCTCTCTTGTTAGACAGTGTCACCACTGAACTGAACTGAACTGTCAGACATCCAGTTGGTGTCTGATGGAGAATTACTTGGTATATGGGGAAAAATCCTCACACACATTTTGGGGATCAGAGGTGAGTTGTTGTCTTTTATTGACTACACTAGAGAAGAAAAAGTATTTATCTCTTCCAGAAGAGTAAAATTGAGAAGAACTTTACCTTTGTGGCTAAACCCAAAGGCTCAGACTTGTACACCATGCATTCACATCCAAGCTCTGTCATTTCCTAGTTGGGGATCCTGAGCTTAACTTCTCAAAGCCTTACTTTTCTTATGCATATAAAGTATAATACCTACTCCACAGAATTCCCGTGAAAACCAAATGAGATAATTCATGAAAAGTGCTTAGGGAGTGTGATGCCTGGTACATAGTAAACTCTCAGTTCACAGCTATGGAGAAAACCACCGAAAGCAAAGAAGTACTTGCCATTTTCCAACTCTCTGAAACTTTTCATTAGTCCACTACTCACAGGCCACACAATCTATATTGCCTAGTTTGTAAATTACATTACATCTTATCCTTCAAAGGTACCCAACTGTAACTTCCACACTCCAGATAGGCAAGCTGTTAAGTAGGCAAAATACTGAACTCAACCCTCACACTTTCTCTCTCTGATTGTCACCACCTCAACTAGCCACTTCCAGGACTGAACTGAAGAGAACTGAAACTCTTTTCAAGCAAGACTCAAAACTCAAAGATCCCTTCACGGCTTGGAGGATTTTCCTTCACCAGTTTTCCTTACATTCTAGACTACAGGTTCCCACCCTGGGGTGGGCAGGAGCAGAGTTATTATAGGAGGCTCACAACTCAATATGGGCTCAAGCAATGTTAAAAAATTAAGTTACCCAGATATCTTGTCTATGTGTCTGCAACATTTTAAAATTCTGCTCTGATTAATAAATTACAAATTATGATTTACAACATTCTGTCATTATCTATTTTCTCAATATATAAATGCTAACTAACCCATCACTCCCAAGTCAGCCTTCAATATCTTTTGATGTTTCAAAGCAGACTGTCCAAGTGTGGACATCAGGAAAAACACAGTGCATCAAGAAAAAAAAATTAGAGACCACCTCTCCTTAGGTAATACAAAGCTATGTGCCCAGGCCCAAGATAATAAACACCTTAAAATCAGTGATTGAAACAACTGAAATAAGTTTTTTAAAAAAGATATCAGAAATCATATTTTCTCTTGACACCGAGCTTCTGGGGGAGATTTTCTATAGTTAGAAAAATCTGAGGTAGGAGAAGTTTGCCTCTCCCCGCCCCTAAAATAGATGTCCATACATAACGGAGTAAAACCTCTCTACCTGTAAATCCCAGAACTTTTATTCAGAAAGGAGTCATCCAAGAAACACGTGAGAACAAAAATATAAGTAAACATTCATAGTGCTTCCAAAGAGCTTACCTGTCCTGCCATTCAGGAGAATGGGCTTGCCTTCCAAGTCTCCTCTTATGGGGACAACTGTGATCTTATAGTCCGTCCCAGGCTGCAGACCTGGAAACAAGCAGGCAGCACCGGATGTGAGGACAGGACCTCGAACCCCTCACAGCACTGCTCTTCCCCTGGATTTCTCTTGTGAGGGGCACATGAGGGGTTCCTCTCCCGTGATCAGCAGGATGTGAGGCCCCACCAAGGGGGCTTATAATTGAGGGAGGAGCAGAACAGATGAGGCAAGGTTGATGGAGCATGTTTTTCAGTTGGGTCATCTAGAAGTTACTTTTCTATTTTTGTTTTCGTTTTTTGGTTTTTTTTGGTACTGGGGATAGAACTCGGGACCTTGAGCTTGCGAGGTAGGTAGCGGAATCACTGAGCTAAATCCCTGGCCCTAATTTTTATTTTATTTACAGTCCCAGTGTTTTCCTGCTCCCCAAAATCTTCTCTTAAAAGTTCTTTGTCTTTTCATTATAATAACTAGCCTAGATTTTTTTCCCCTTTTCTTTTTCCTTTTCTTTTAAAGTTACTTCTCTGTAGAAGCAACCTGAATGGTTCTTCCTTATGGCACAGTCTTCAGACTCCAGTGGTTAAAGGCAGGCAAACAGCACTGTGTGGGGGGCTCCCACTCAGCCACTCCATAAACATCAAGAACTCTAAAAGAGGTTTTCTCAAGAAGGAACTGGGGGAGTAGATGGCAGAATAAGGATTCAAAGAGGATTTAATGTGTGGCAAATAAGCCTCAGGACTCTCAGTTTCATGGACATCTTCCAAAGCGCTGTACCTAACTAGGTAATCATGATTGTGTATGATTTTTCTTGAAGAGGGCCCTGAAAATTGCATCAATTTCAAGCACTGAAAACTTGCCCTACCCTTGTGTCTCCAATTCCTGACTTCTAACTCTCAGCAGAATTAGTTCCGTCAGAGTCACCACTCCAGGCCGAGCACACCCTTCCAGGCATCATGCTTAACAAAGCAATCTCACCCCCTCCCTACACACACACACACACACACACACACACACACACACACACACTCCTCCAAAAGGAAGGTCCATCCCAATACACCAACAGGGTCTCACTTGGGAGGACACTTCAGAAATGTGCTGTTAACAAGATGCACTGGAAGTCCAGCTCTGGGATGCCAGAACAGAGTCTGCAGGGCTCTGAAACAGGCCCATGTGGCTGTTTCACAGGTCAGGGCTTGAGTGCGATTCCAAAGGTCCCAGGACCCTCTGTGTGCACTGTGTCCACCTCAGCATCCACAGTGTCACTTCGCACCCCCCTTGCTGGCTCTCACCAGTGATGTCATATCGGCTCTTGGGTTCACGGCTCCTAGGTACAGTGACCTCAGCCACCTCGTGCCCTGTCAATGGGCCATACCGCAGCTTGTAGTAGTCTACCTCAGTTGGGGGATTCTCCCACTCCACATCGAGGGAGTTCTCAGTCTCTTCTGTCACCCAGGCAGTGCCAACCACAGCAAGATCTAGAGCAGGGGTCAGAGAGGGCAAGAGAAAGTGATGAGCAGAGGAATGAAGGTATGAAACAGATCATCAGCTACTGAGTCAGCTCCCTCCCTGACCCACTGAGAACTGGCTGCAGCCCCAGGACAAAGAGCTTCAGGGGGCTCTTAGAGCCACCCAAGTAGCAACTCAGCTGTTCTTTTCACATTTTCCATCAAAAGAAACTGTGTTCTGCTCCCCTATGCCAGGCAGCGCTTCCTGTCCAAGCTGACTCTGGCCAAGCCTGACCCTTAGCCCTCAGGCCGACCATCCACACCCCCCAGCCAGGGCCCACACTGCTCTAACCAATGCTTGTCCTTAGGTTACTGAGTCCCTGTCCTCAGAGACCACCTCAGGATGAGATACACAGGCCCCTCCAGGTAAAGTTGGGGAAATGTATCTCAAGTTTTCTATACCAGCTCCTTCTTCCACCTCCCAAATCATAGCCTTTCCCTAAAATTCTCCACCAAAGATTGACCTAAGGCAAAAACAAGAAAGTAGGTGACTTTTAATTTGGTTCTATGTATCCTCCCTGCCCCTTCCACCAGACTTTGGTACTCCCACCAGGTCTCTAATCTCCTTGTGCTGCCTCACCTATCTGTCTTATGAATAACAACAGTTATCACACATCTGTATTCATAGTAACGTACTTAGGGCTAAATGTTTGCACTTCCACTTGGAAAAAAACATGAAATCATAATAATTAATACAAAGAAATGGGCTGCTGGAAAGAACGTGGCTCTAGGAAAGAACGTTCAGAAGGGCAGTCCTGGCATCTTTGAAGAGCACTTCAAATTCTAACAGTTGTATGATGGAGCTTGGCCTTGAAATTTCAAGCAGGGTGACTTAAGTCTCCTAGATTCCCAGGCCTGTCCCCTCTGCTGTCCCATCTCCATCTTAACTGCCTGGAAGCATTTCTGCCCAGGCTGGCTGACCACATGTCAAGGAGTGGAACAGGAAACCAGTCCATCAGGCAGAGTGTGAACTCACTGACCTCAAGGTCCCTTAGCCCTGAGTGGCCCTAATTTCCTATTATGGATAAAGAACCTCACTGCACCCTTCCTCTGCAGCATTTCCTCTCACTACCAGCTCCTGCCTGTGAATTCTCCTTCCCTATTCTGTTTTCAGACTTCCTTCAAAGATGGAATTCCCTGAGGGTCAAGTGAAGAGAGTAATGAAGGTGATGAAGGGTTGGAGAAGCATCCTACACGGCTTAAGAGAATTGGGAAGGATTCACAAATGAAAACAAAGGGATTTAATGAGAATGTTCAAGATCATGATGGGGATAAGTACTGCTCAGTCTGAGCTTCCCCTGAGGAGCAAAAAAAAAGACTGGGTTTAACCTGAACCAGATTAGACAGAAAGACAAACTCCACAGTAGCAGGATTTTACAAGTCCCAGGGGAGCTGCTAAGCCTTTCAGAACACATGTCCCTGTCTTTCCCTGGGAGGCTGGATGCTGTCCTGCTGTAGGCAGACAGAGACACAAACAAAAAGGGAGGGAGGGGCAAAGCAGCCCCTGCTGGCCAGGAGCTGGCCTGGCTCTAGCAGCTTGGTGTTCTCCCCGTGGATATCAACCATTTCAGCATCAGCATCAGACAAAGCCACTCTGTGACCACATTAGACCAAGACAAAACAAGCCTCTCCTGTGGCTGAACACAGACAAAAACATGGCTATCGTTCCCACAAAAGCCCAATGGGAATGACAGCCACTTCTTTCCCATTAAAGTTTCAGCCTGCCTCTAAATGAGATTCATTAAGATACCAAACCCCGAATTACCCCCACATCTTGACAGCATCCAATTCAAAGCAAATCCCTGCTTTCTTAAATCCTCCCCCAAATTAGCTAACCCAACCCAAATTTTATAATCAATCCATTCTTGCACCCTCTTACTGGGATGCTCCCGCGATTTTCCAGTGTACATTCTGTCATGCTAAAACAATCAATCCAACTCGTTCAATTACAGGGGTGTTTCTAGGGGTCTCCAGCTGCAGGACTGACACAGGCCATCACAAACCATGCCCTCAAGCTTCCGAGTCTCTCTCTCCTGGCTTTTTCCAACACTGTCCATCCTCACTCCTCCCTATTCCTGCCACCAAAATAGGACATGAAGCCTGATGTTTCTGCAAAGACAAATGCAGTACCATCCTTCTGGGCCTCTCCCCAGGATTTTAGGGTAGGATGGAGGCAGTGAATTTTTATTAGCACCTAGAACTGTGCCTGGCACATGGTAGGTACTCAATACAAATGTGCTGAGTGAAGAGCTAAGCTACATGAAGAACTTTCATGAGGAAACAAGAATTTCTAAAGAGGATAGCTGCTAGGCAGACACTTAGGGCAAGCTCCTGTACTTACAAGCGGAAAGCTCCTGGCCTTAAAGATTGTTAACTAAAACAACAAACAAACAAAAAGACTGTTAACTACCTTCAGAGTTGTTAAAGCTAAAGGCCTTGAGAGAGATGGACAAGGAATCAGACAAAATGGCCAAGTCACTCTTTTTTTTTTTTTCATGATAATACTAAATTCTCTACACAGAGGCATTCAAGTCCGCCATTTTTTTTTTCAGCATGAAATATATGACCCCAAACTGAGGATGCTCAGGAATGGGTCCATTTCCACATGTGATAAGGAGTATTTCCTACATGAATTTCAATAAAAGCTCCTTGCTTTCTTTGTTCAAAGGAGAACACTGCTTTTAATGTTACTTTTGGGCCTCTCCTTACTTGCTGCAAGTAATAAGCCTCCCTCCGCTATTTTATCTCTTGGTTGTTTCTCGGCTTTGCACTAACCAAGAGGCAAACCTACTGCATTGGTGTGGCAGTTAGGGTGAAGCATCCACTTGATTGGCTTTAGAACCCACCCAGGGATTGATGGAGCCCACTTCTGGGTGTGACTGAGTGGGTCATGGAGGTGTGGCCTTGGGTCCATGTCTGGTCCCTCTTCCTTACTCTCTGGCACTGTTGCTCTGTTCTGTTTTCCTACAGTCATGAACTAAGCAGCATCACTCCACCACACCCTTCCACCATGATGTTTCTGCCTTGGAGCCAACCAGCTACGGACTGAATCCCCCAAAACCATGAGTCAAATTAAACCTCTCATCTTTCAAGTTAGGGGTGTCAGGTATTGTGTCCAATGATAGAGAAACTGACTAAAACAACTGAGTTACATAGGCAGTGATGCTTCTCCTTCCAAACATGTTGGTGATACTAGATGGTGCCCTGGAGACTATGTCCTTCCAAGCCAGCCTCCACCAGTCCTTGATCTTGCTGTTTTTCAGGTTATGACCTCTAGGAATTAAGTTAACCAAGGCCTTTGCCCTTTGGCCTCTGCGTTCAGCCAGTGGGGGTCACCAGCAGAACAGAGCGAAAGAGAAAGTTCAGGTGACTGATCTTCACTTCCTCCCTCCAGAACACAATGGAAAGCTGCAAGCCTCTACCAAATGCACCTACACTTTCCCACAGCTTTTTTGAGTCCAAATACTAACACCCACTTTTTGCCCCACTCAGGATGAGAGGGATCCCACTGATGCTAGACCTAGAGTGTCAAATTATCCAAATCCTACCCACACCTCTGTAAACAGCCCCTTCCTTAAACCACCATATTTGTGCCCTCTTTCCTGCTGAGATGGATCTAACTGACACAGGCAGCTTCAGTAGCTTCAAACCTATCTGAATTTAAATTTGATAAGTAGCCTTGGAGGCCAAGGGAGGGGACAGGGATGTAAGTGAATTCTTTGGCTCTTGGTGGGGCTGGGACAGGGTGCAGAGCAATCAGACTTTACTCATCTCAGGAACAAGGGACTCTTGTACCGCACTTGGGCAGGCCACCATTACTGACTTGGAGGACCTGATAATGGGGGGTGGGGGGTCAGAGAACTGGAACTCTTCTCCAAAATCTAGGACTGCAGCAGCTCTAGTTTTCCAACCTGAAATTAGAGCAATGGCCTGACCAACAGAAGAGTACTGTATCTTCAAAGAAAGCAGGAGGAGACATTTAACACGGGGTCTTCCTGAAAGATCAGAGGCATCTGGTTGCTTCCTCACCTGTGGTGGCAACCAGGTGCTGCGGGCTGCTGTGAATGTCTTTCTTCACATTGCGCAGGGTGACTACGTACTTGGTTCCAGGCAGCAATCCAGGAATCTCATAGGTGTGCTGCTCCTTGGGCACCTGGATCTGCTTGGAAGAGCGCTCCTTGCCCATGGGATAGTAGCTGAGGAGGTAGTGGTCCACGTCGCTGGAGGGCTCCCAGCCCACCAGCAGGGAATTCTCGGTGCTCTTCAGCAGCTGCAGGCCCTGAGGGGGGATGACTGGTGCAGAACAGGACAGGTGAGAAAGGGCGGGAACTGAGGGACAGAAATTCCTGCCAACGAGCAGCCAGTGAGGACTGCTGCCTGCTCAGCACTGTGATGGGAGGCCGGGAGGGTGCCACACACACCCAGGAAGCTGTGGTCTGGCTAGGAGGCAATGCGGACTCCCTGCCCCTGACCCGCACCTGTGGCCATTAGATCACCAGTAAGACTAAGTGTACTCAAAGCTCAAGTCCCAAACTAGCATCTGCATCACCTACGACCTTGTAGAAATGCAAATTCTCAAGCCCCTTGCTAGACTTGCTGAATCACGACCTGAGGGGTCAGGGGGATTGGCAATTTGTTGTTTTGCTGTTTGTTTATTCTGTAATAAGGGATTAAACTCAGGGCCTTCTCACTAAGCTATACCCAACCTTTCTTTTTTTAAAAGACAGGGTCCAACTAAGTTTCTGAGTTGCCCGGGCTGGGATCAAACTTTTGATCCTCCTGCCTCAGCCTCCTAGAGTGCTAGAATTACATACAGGCCTGCGCCACCACCCAGCAGTCTGTTTTAATGAACTCTCGAGAGGATTCTGCTGTAAGCTAAAGCCTGAGACCCCTCAACAAGACAATGTGTAACTGGTGGTTAAAGGTTCAGGGGAGACCTCGGGTGGAAGGTAAAGTGACCGCAAGGACGCATCTCGGCTCTCACCCTGGGAGCAGTCGGGACCCGTGAAGCCCAACTCGCAGTAACACTCGCCCGTGTCGCAGAAGCCGTGGCCGCTGCAGTCGCCGGGACAGCGCTGCTCGCTGCAGTCCTCCGACGTGAAGTCTTCCTGGCACTGGCAGACGCCGCGCACGCACACGCCGTGGCCGCTGCAGTCCTGCGGACAGGCGGGGTAGGCGCAGTCGGGGCCCACGTAGGGCGCGTCGCACACGCAGCGCCCATCCACGCAGCGCCCGTGGCCGCTGCACGCCCCGGGGCAGCTGGGCAGCTCGCAGTCCGCGCCCTCCCAGCCCTGCTCGCAGTGGCAGCTGCAGGTGTCAGGGGAGAAGGTGCCGTGGCCGCTGCAGTGGCGGCTCAGATCTGGGACGAAGAGGAGAAGCAGACAGGTGGGTGGAGAGTGGGTGGAGGGCAGGCCCTGACCCTTGGGCTGGGGGAGAGAAGGTGTTGGTTTCCGGCCTGAGGAGCAGGACTGCTCCCTAGGGGAGACTGGGCCGGCCCTTTCCAGCTGCATGCTTCTCCTTTGCCTGAGGAGATGCATGACCCTTCCCCTGCCCTGGTTCCTTCCCTCTGAATGAAGGGTATTATTCAAGGCCTTTCTAGGAAAGGGACTTATATGCTCCTTTGGTGGCTGGCTGGTCGCTGGCCCAGGGAGGTGGCCTGAGATCCAGACAGGTGGGAGTCTGTCTTCTCCTGGTGGGTGGGGCTGGACTTACCAAGGCTCCCTTGTCTAATAAGCCACGGTGAAGGCTGAAAAGATGGACTTGCAAATGCTACAAACCAGGCCAGTCTCAATTCTGGGCCCGCGGCGTGGATGTGGGGATTAACCAAGTTCCCCTCTCCCGCCCTGCATGCAATGAGCAGCTGGAGGGCAGGCAGTGCGAGCCCTTCTCCAGGGAATTCCCTTCTCCAGCTTCTTGGAATACCCCTGTCCCTTCCTAAAGACACTCCTAGAGTGGAGGCTCTCAGAGCAGGTCCACACTGTTTTGTTCATGGCCATGTCCCTAGCACCTAATTCTGTATCTGACATTCAACATGGGCTGATAATCATAGCAGTTCCTTTGGATATAAAAATGTATGCCGAAGTACCACTCACTGTCATCCACTTTAGTCTGGGCAGCTTATGTTTGAAAAGGGTGGGCCAGAGGAAACTTTACTATGTAAAAATCAAATTGTCACATTTTGTAGCTAATAGTTCAGCTTCCTGGATAGCTACCCTAGGCCAGCAATCTGATAGAAACCCTCTCTAGTTTTCAGAGCGATGCTAGATGATACAATTGGGCACTGAGGCAGATGAGGGGAGAGAAGTTTGCCCAAAGTCGCGCTGGGCAAAGCCACATCTTTCCTCCATAGCCATTCCTTCCCCTTTGAGAAGAGTCGGGTCACAGGTGAGAGGGCCCCTGGAAGCGTTTGAATTCAGAAGCATTAACCCAGGAGTCTACTCAAGAGCTGCCGGTCCCTGTTCAGGCCTCCAGATGCCCCTGAACCTAGCACCCATGAATGAAGAACAGGGAGGAGGGCCCCCAAGAACTCAGAATGAGAGGTGAGGGGCCAGGGATTTAGCTCAGTGGTTTCGATGCCTGCTGCGCAAGCACAAGGACCCGAGTTCGATCTCCAGTACCAAAAAAAAAAAAAAATTACAAAAAAAAAATTACAGAATGAGAGGTGAGAACGTACCAGACTCAGAGTGTTCATGAGGCTCATGGAGCAACTGGCACATAGTAGGTGCTTGGTAAGTGTTTGTTGAATGAATACCAGGTGGTAAACTCACCAGCAGCGCCTTGGCAGCAGCGCTGGACATTACACTGCTCCTTCAGCTCTGCCATCTCTTCCTCTAGTTTCTTCACCCGGGCCAGGAGGTCCTGGACACTATCTGACAAGTCGCAGCCCTTCTGCGGTGTCTGGAGGCGAATGTTGTGCCTGAAGATGAGATTCTGCTCCTCTCCCTCCTCCGCCATGGCCAAGAGTGAAGTCCCATCATCACTGAGGGACTGCGGATCGGCCTCCACCTGCACCAGGGTAGACTTGGGCACCTCAATCTTGTAGGTGTGGCTGACAGTCACCTGTTGGTCCTTGTTGCTGCAGCCAGGAGGCTCCGGAGTGGCTGGGGCCGAAGTCACCAGGAGCACAGAGCCCAGCAGGAGCCCCAAGGGGAAGCCGAAAGTGCCCTGGAGACCCATCCTCGGAGAGATGGAGCAGACCCTCCGGGATGTCCTGGAAGGTGCAGAAGAGACCGTGAGATTTGCTGAGGGGAACTGCGTTTTTAAGACTCTGAGGGGCCACTGGAAGCTGACAAACGAGCAGAGAGAATTCATCCATCTCTCCTGAGGCTCTGAAGCAGACATCTTCCTTTCCTTCCTCACCCATTGCCCATTCTTGCCTCCTCTGGAAGTTTCCACTGGTCACGCCCCCGGAAAGCCCTTCTGAGCACTCACGGTCTCACAGGCCCTGGCCCGAACCCTCTACAGATGGAATGGAATGGGCAGCAGCACACTGTCCAAGTCACTGCCTTGGACTGGGACAGTGGAAGGCAGGGGTGAAGTCAGAATGAGCAGGGGGTGGCAGGACAAAGACCAGTGCCTGACTGGCCAGGAGGAACTTAGAGGTGGGAGCTTGGCTGGAATGAGCTGCATGGCAGACAAGAAGGAGGCCTCGGCGGGGAGAGACCTGCGCCTCAGATTTGGGGAGGCCAAGTCTGTGGCACCCAACAAGGCACGTTCAAGAGCCTCCAAGAGGGCAGCTGGTTCTGTGGCATGGATGGGCTGCCCCTGGGCAACCGTGGGAGGAGATGATGCTGGCAGGTAGAAAGAGGAATCTCCGAAGAACCCACATGGAGTACTGGAGCAGCACTGGGGCATTTGGTACTACAAACATTTCAATCCCAGGCCTCAACTGGGAGAGAAGAAAAGATGTGGCCCGGAGCAGACTGAGGCTCTGATATTGAAATGGATTTGCCTTCACAAAAGTGATTCTCTTCCAAGACCAAAAGCAGCCCGGAAAGCTCAGGCATCAGCTTGCGATTTCTATGAGCGGATGGGGGCACTGGAAGGCAGGTGTAGGGTAGAAATAATGATGTTTTATAATTGCCTTCTTAAAAGGTTCAGCCAAGTAATAATTCTCCACTTAATGCTCAGGATGAGAACTGAGACTTAGCGCAACATCCCACTGATCTGCTGCTGAGTGCAGACCACAGAGCCAAACGCAGGCGCAGAGTGTCCTTGTGGAGCTGTTAGTAGGTGCTAAAGCGCCTACTGTGTTCAACGCAGCACATGAGTTTCTGCTGTCCAAACCCCTGCTGTGCCAGACAGCCACAGAGTCAGAAGAGCTGACCTTTCTCTCATTTCTTCTATCCAGCACCCACCCCCAGCCCCTGGCTCACAGTTCCTGAGACTGAAATGGAGTGCAGATGTTTTTCTGAAGAAGTTCTGAACGGATACAAAAAGAAGCCAGGGACTCTTGCCATAAACCACAGCAAGGCCTCCCAGAGCCCCATCTCACAGTATTTGATTTTGAAGCCTGGAAATGAAAAACCCCAGAAGCTCCTGCAGAAGCCCTCCATGTCTCCTGTCCTTATGCTCGGAGATGTCCTCGCTAAATATAGCCCTTCAGATTCCACAGGTTGAGCTCAGATTTTCCTGGGCAGGGTGATTGCTAGAAAGATGAGACGAGGAAACCCTCAACCTAGTACTCTGCGAGTGTCACAAACACGAAGGGAAGCTGCTGGCGCTTGCTGCAGCATGTGGCAGGAGACTCTTCCTTGAAGAGCATGAGGAAGGGGTGACCACTCCACTCTCCAGTACACACAGCACACCGCAGACTGAACTTCTTGGGGGTGGGAAGGGGCGAAGGGGCACCAGACATCACCAAGAAGAATGCTGGAGGATACGTTTCTGAACAGGCACTCTTACTCCATTGAGTGGAGCGTCCCACAGAAAGTGGGGCAAATGCTGCTGGAATGCATGAGGCAGAGGGCATTTACATACAGGAAAAGTGTGTGCAAGAATCCACAGGGAACCAGGTGTCCCATGACTCACTGTCTTGAGGCTGATCATGTCTTAAATTCTGACTGCAAGAGGGCCGCTGGGTGCTGCAGGAAGGTAGCAACCAGATGCTTCTTTGTACAGCTTTCCTAGGACAGGCTTTTCGAGGGGGACACTGCTCACCATGAGCTTGCGGGGTGGTCTCCATCACACTACCCTCAGAGACACTTATGCCACAGGGCTCTAATTCTTCTTGGGTAGCTGCATCTACCCTATGGCTTTAATTTCCAGCCAAATACTGACCATTCCCAAGTCTGTACCTGTGTTCCCAGGTATCCCTGCTAGCTCAGAGATGCGAATAACTATAACATATTGGACCCCTCTGTATCTCCAGCCTTATGCATAGCACAGTGCTCACCAAATATTGTGAATTAAATAATGGCCACTGGAGGGTGTGTGTGTATTAGATAATGGATACCATGCCAAACACATAAGCATCAGTCTCATTTCACCCTCAAAATGCTGGCTGTCAGTTGATAGCATTCTTTGTTATGGGTGCTCAATGAGGTTAAGTAATTTGGCCAAAGACACACAGCTCGTCAGAGCAGAGATGGGATCATACACTGGGTCTGTCTGCTTCCCATATCTGGGTTCTTTGTCTCTCTGCTATGTATACCGTAGACATGAAAAGAAAAAACAAATACAGAATTTCCTTCTTCCTGCCATATTTCTTTTAAGAGATGGATTCTTATGAAAGTAAAGGAAATGCAGTGGCTACTGGGTACTCAGCAAACCATTGATAAATTGACAACCAGGGGGCTGGGGCTGGGCCTGGAACGTGGCTCGGGGGTAGAGTACTTGCCTGCGCCTGCACTTTCTCTGAGCAGAGGCAAGATGATTTTGGGAAAGATGAATTGTTTCCCTCACAGGGAGGATAAGTCTGGTCACTTCTGATGAGAAGCTGGAAATTCCCTTCCTCAGAAAATACCAGAATACACCAAGACCTCTGTCCCCTGGGGCAGAAGTCAACCAAGCTGTCCTAGCAGAGAAGGATGGACTCCAGATCCTGATGGTCCTCTCCATCTTGAGAGGCGGGTGCCTTCTGTGTCACCCCACTCTTGACAAAGAAGGACACATGCCCCAGGTCAGAGAAAAAATACTACTAATACTGAAGAGAACAGTGGCCAACTGCTAGCCACCATTACAGATCTTTCTAGTTAGATTCTGGGCTTTCTCCGGCTCCCACATTACCTCATCCTGACTTTATGGTTAACCTCAACCAAATGAGAGCAGTGCTTTGGGTTTCAGAAAAACTGTATCATCATGGATTTCCAGTGCAGTCACTTGAGATATTCTGTTCCCAAATGACAGGGTGGACATCATTGACCTATGAAGGAAAATGAAAGAAGTAGGTGGTTTGAGCTGCATGGATGTGACAAATGTCACTGGCAAACTTGTCACTTCCCTTAACTCTCAGGGCTTATTTTGCTAGTGATCCATAGCTGGCCCTTGCTTGTTCCCGTGTCTGGGTTCTTTGTCTCTTTGCAGTGTGTACTGCAGACAGGAAAAGAGCAAGCTCTCAAGTGGCTGAGGAACCGACCCAGTTCAACTCATCTTAAAATGGAAACCTCAGGCAAGCAATGGACCTCAGTCCCTTTCCCCTTCAGTATGCTAGAGCGGAATGTGTCCAAGGTGGCACTGTTTCTAGGTCAACCCCTGGGTATCTGGAGATAAATATTTTTATCTCCAGTCACCGTGACACCGACCTGTCTGCACAGGTGTTCATGTAGGATGCAGGTCAGGTGTGGATGAGAATGAAGACTTGTCTTAGTGCAATAGGCTTAATCGGCTCTATAGAGACATCTTCTAAGCCCCTACACTCAGAATTCTGTGCGGTCCACCCAGGAAGTGCTTGCAGCTGACTTCCTTGCCTCCTCACCCTCTTCCTGGAGAACTCTCCATGGAGGTTGCTACCCACTAGAGCCAGGAAAGATAAAGGTGGGAGCCTCTGTTCCAGTCTTGGTGCATGATCACTTTCTCAGTGGTCAGCACAGGCATGTTTTGTTCTGTCAACCCAATTTTAATCTGCCTGGCAGAGGCCCAAATGGGTGATGATTCTGGGGTCTACCATTCTCTCAGCACTTACTGTGTGCTAGAATCTAATGCTAAGCACTTTAAAACCTTTCTCTGGGGCTGGGGGTGTAGCTCAATGGCAGAGCCTGGCCTAGCACGCACAAGACCCAAGATTCAATCCCCAGCATGGAAAATAAAATCAAAACAAACAAAACTAAACCTGTCCGTGAACACCAGACAAAGTCATTCATTCACTCACACAGGAATGAATTACTTTCTCACAGAAAGACCCTCCTTTAGCTTTTGGATCAGGCTCGACCACAATGAGAAGATAAAACAGACTCAGGTTCTTAATTCAGGGACCATTCTTCCCCACATCCAACCAAACACCCAATTCCCAGAATGACTGTGTTACTTGATACACAGGCCTATTCCCCACCACAGGCCTGAGGGGCATCTGATGGCAAATCTGCTTCAGCTGAATGAGGAGAGGCAAGTAATGACAAGTTACAATTCCTCTCTCTAGTTTAACGTGGTTTTTCACATACTGGACTAACTTTAAAGTTCCAGTTTTCCATCAAGGAGGAATGCTTTTGCTAATTTCCAAGAATTTGTGCTGCTCCAGCAGCACTCCCTGGGCACAAATGCAGATGGCAGCTGGTTGGCATTAGCATGAGTCCACTGTGGTAGAGGCAGGCAAAGCCCCTGTCCCTCAGGGAATGGGCCTGAGATCTTAACATCATCAGCTCCCAGACGGGTGGCTCCAAATGCTTCTACAGAACCTAACCCACAGTCTCATGTCTGCAGCCAGACCTGCTAAAAGCCAGGCTCTGGCATGAGTGGTGGATGGTAAGAGTTTCCATGGGCCTGTGCATGACTTCCCCATCTATCCTGTGTTTCAAACAGCTCAGGAATGGAAACCAAAAGCCATGGGATGATTTAGACTTATCTGTCCTGTTTTCCTTACTTTGGGAGCCAGCTGCAGCCCACAAACTGGGGACATAGCGGGACTCAAGGCTGTATGGACAAATGTTAGGTGCTTTCTTCCCTCTTCTCTGGGAAAATGGTACCCATGGGACTGTTTCTTCCCAATCCCCTCTCCCAACACTGTCACTTTGACTCTGAGTCTGCAGTGATCACTCAGCTGCCAGAGACCCTGTGTCTTCTGGGCAGGTCCTGGGCTTTGCCAGCTGCCCGTGCATAGCTCTGGCTGAGCAGGTGTCACCTGATCTCCTGGGGACACTCTGGCTTCTCTAAGAATCCGGTGGCCTTCAGCACTGTGGCTAATCTCCATCTAGATGTGGGTAGCTTGTTATCTTTATGTTGAGACATGTTCTTTTCTTTCATGCTTATATAAACAAGTACCATGCAGGGCTGGGGATTTAGCTCAGTGGTTCCATCGACTTCCTTGCAAGCGCAAGGTCCTGAGTTCAACCCCTGGTACCAAAAACAAAAACAAGTACCATGCTCTTAAGTGAAACTCTGCTTATTCTTGCTCATTTTCTCCCCCCTTTTTCTAACTTTCTCCCAAATGCAAAAGTTAATATGTAAATAAAAAGTCAGACCTCTAAAAACTAGACTATTGCATTCTTTTTTCTTTCTTTCTTTTCTGTATTAAAGATGGCATTCAGAACCTT